AACCAACCTCATCCTGCCCCCTTGACCTGTCCGTCCTCCCTGGACTGACCTATCCCCTTCCTAACTCCCTACCTACACTCACCTTTCCTGGCTCCATCCCCGCCTCTTCGACCTGTTTGTTTCCTCTCCACCTATCCTCTCCTCTATCCCTCTTCTATCCGCCTCCCACTCTCTCCCTATTTATTTCAAAACCCCCTTCCCCTCCCCCTTTTCTGATGAAGGGTCTAGGCCCGAAACGTCAGCCTCTCTGCTCCTATGATGCTGCTTGGCCTGCTGTGTTCATCCAGCCCTGCACCTTGTTGTCTCGGATTCTCCAGCATCTGCAGTTCCTACTATCTCTTATCCCATGTGTCTTGACTTCATTAACCAACTTAGCTGTTATTTTAGCCAATAAACAGATGTAGAGTTATGAAATTCTGATTTATCCAAAGCTCAACTTTGTTCACTACGTACATTCCATTGACAAGCCAGCTTCTTTTTGACCATTGCAGTAGTATTCACTTAGAGCTGTGCTTATTTTACACTGCTGCTAAAACTTTGACCCAACTTTGGACCATGCAAAGTTTGAATCCTTAAATGCCCTTGAGACTCACCCTGTCTTCTTCAAATTAACAATTCATTCAGAATTCCCCAGCAGAGCACAAGCTTTTGCTCATGTCCTGTTGATCCCACATGCCCCATTGAACTGACTTTTAATCTTTCAAATCCAAAACCTTCCCCAGCCTCAGTAATCTGTGATGGCAAATCATAGGTTTCCTGTGGAAGGACAAGCTGTATGTGTTGGCCAGATGCCATTATCTGCACTTTATCTTTGCTAATATAAAAACCTGATACACACCCTTTGATCCTCACACTCTTGCTTCACCATTGGCACTAATTTTTCAATTGCTACACTGCTGTATTTTCAAACTTGCTTTCTAAATGCCCCCAACCCACCAGATGTGCGATTGTTCTATCTGCATTTGAAAGCCTTTAAGAAAGCCAACTCCTTGAGTTCAATTTTCACTTCCTTGGAGGTTAAAAGTTAGCAAGAAGAGAGAATAGTTGGATGAATTGGCCATTGAGTGATACTTGCCCCTTTTCTTCTCTCCCAACACTTAATTGCTGAGATGGAAGTCCAATGAGGACAATCCTTCCTTGCCAACAATCCAGGTCCGTAAGTGATCAGTTAGCAACCACTTAATTACCTCAACTCCTCACCAGCCCATTTACCTGTCTTATTTCAGGTGAGGAAAATGGCTAATTTATCAACTGGGGAATGAGAGCAAATCTCCTGCTGGGACAGAATGTCCTCAATGTACCCTATTCTGGAGCTAATCAGGGGGAGTGATTGGAGATAAGAAGGTGGCAGCTGAATGCTGCTTCCCTTCCTTTGTCTTCAGGTTCCTACTACGAACACCTCCACCACCAACTCCTCCCCTCCACTCCAGTTTTCATGTCCTTGCAGTTTGCACTCTGCAAGACTTGAAAGAAAAAGATGACCTTCTTACTGTTATATGCCCTGAAGTCCAGGCCTCCAGTGACCTGAAAGTTGCTAGCCCATTATTGACCAGCAGCTTCTGTTGAGGTGAGACTTTAACATCAAGGTCTGTGATTTAACAAGGGGTTTGCCGATCAACTGTTAGCTGATTGCAGTACAGTCTGACAGATTTCGTAGTTGGTGAGTGCAGAGTTGCTACTGAATAAGCCTGCCCCACATTTAAGTGCTAAAGAATAAAATTTTGGTCTAACTAGTGAATTTTTAAAAAGAGTCAGGGTCTTGATTGAAGGAAACACAATTTGGCGCCTCTGGCCTCCATGCTGCTTCTGTACCAGAAGGTCAATTCTCATGAATTGTCCTATTCCTGCTCCAACTGGAATTTCCAGTCAGTAGTGCAGGCAGCTCATGTTGATCTGGCCACATCTGTACAAAGCTGTGAGGAGGAGGTAGAGGGTGGAGCAATTTTTCACAAGAAGGAAATGATCACCCTTCCCCCCACCCCCCTCCCCCAGATCCATGATGGCCTCTGGAATTTGGACCCTCAGGTCTTGGGGATTTATCAGCTTTCAACCCCCATCAATTTCTCCTGTACAATCTACTTTCTAAGGCTAAATTCTTGTATCTTTCTCTTTAAAAACAGAGACAAAGTAATGATGTAACTTCTTCCACTTTCCTCATTGACAGAAGGCAGGTAGTTGGGTGGTTTGGCTGCTGATCACTGAGTGGCTCAGGTCCTTTCATTGACCCTCCAGTGTCTGGAGCCTGCTTGCCAGTGCTGAATAGACAGCTAGTAGGTTCCTAGGCACTTAGTTGACTGGAGTATTGAACGTTACAGTGTGTGTATAAAATTTAGCATGGAATGTTGGGACCTGGAACCACCCCACTGTTTGGTTTCTAACCCCTAATTCAGGGATCACTGTGGTCTCCTGTTTTTGATTCTTGCTCAGTGACTAATTTCCTTCTTAGAAAAAACACCCTAAGTTGTTTCTCTTGTCTTGAGCGCTCTGCAGATGTAAGTTATTGCAAATTAATTGATCTGGAAGTAGTTTTCTGTTTCCCTTTCCTTTTGTTTTGATATTAAGGATTACTAAAAAAGTTTGAGTGTAAGGAAATATGATACTGCTGACTCCTCTTTTAGACCCAGAAACAATTCTTTGACATGTGCCTACTGAACAATAATGAGGTAATGAGTAAAGTGGGATCAGTGTAAAGCTGTCGTTTATCAATGTAAATAGAATTATGCGACAAAACCCAACTTTACCAGAAATCGCTGGATTTGTACAAGTCATTGGCAGATTATACAACTTTTGACTTTGAGTTATTTCCATGGAAAGGGCCAAGAGACAGAAGAGCAATTAGACTTGACCTAAAAGACAGTTGTCATTAAGGTTAACTGGCATCAAGTTTGTCTAAAACTTTGCAATTGGATTAACTGAAAACAAAGTTTAGGACACTTAATTGGGTGAGTCCTTTCTCCTATCTGCTGGTA